TGGTTGGACGGAGGTGAGAACGGCAGCCACTATCTCCGCCGCCGGCAGATTCAACCCAGCCGCCATACCGTCAGTATCTAACTACCCTGCTGTCCGTCAAATTCTGGCTGTGATCTCATCATAGGTCCTGGACTCGTGGGCTGTGTTCCCAGACCTTCACCTATCAACTGCCAACTCTCTGGTCATCTACCACTACCGCATACCACGACCATCAGTTCATCACATTCCGTCGGTGCCCCGGTGTTCTCCTGCCTTTTTCAAGACGTCGCTGAGTGTGGAATTGAAGTGGACGCTTCCCTATCCTGAGTGTGCATCACCGTGTTCCAGAACCTTCCCCCAGGGCCACTGCCGTAGGAAATATTTGTTCATTGTTCGATTCTATCAATTGTTGACTCCATTTAATTGTTTGAATCCATTAATTGCTGACTCCCATTATTTGTTTGATTCCTTTAATTGTTGCTTCCATTAATTGTTTGACTCCTGTAATTATTTGATGTTTGTTGAGTGGTGTCAGAGTTTTGTTATATTTTTATAGTAAAGAGATGCCCATCTCAAACGGTTGTTTGTAATTCCTCAGAAAACCATGGTCCTTGACTTTCCTTTATTAAGATCCTGATTAGCCTGGTAAGGGATTTCTATCCCTGAGTCCTAGGCCTTTACAACCTCAATCATATCGCCACTTACTCAACAGGTATGTCTCTCGTGGGGGCGCAAATTTAGATGTAACGGCACCATTTGTATTATATAAATATTTACCCAAATGTATATTACCCATATATTCACCAAGTCATTCATCCATGAGTATGAATCAATTGGTGAGTTGACATTCCCTCTGGGAAGCGGGCGAGGTCAAGCTTCGTCAGCGTAGCTCAGCACAAAAAATATGACGCGTTTCCTTTAAGACCTGCCTGACCACACTCTCTCCCTGTTACCCAGTGAACACCTCACTTAAGTGTTCTCCTATACAAGTGCACTAAGACACTTCCCTGAGCAGAGAAGGTACAATATACTCTCAACTGAACTCAGTACCTGTGAAACTATATTTTTCTTCAATAAAGCAAAACCAACAAAGTGTTTACTTCAGCCCTGCCACTTATCAATTCAAGACCTAATAAATAAATAAATATATATATATATATATATATATATATATATATATATATATATATATATATATATATATATATATATATATATATATATATATATATGTATATATATATATATATATATATGTGTAAATATCTATATATGTATATATATATATATATATATATATATATATATATATATGTGTATATATGTATATATGCAAATAAATCACTGTAGGTGCGCGTGATCCAGGTATATGCTGATAACCACAAGGAAAAAGAAAACACATAGTTCCCAAGCGCTTATAAAGTCCCTTGCAAGGAATGTAATATGTTTTACTTAGGCCAAACAGGTAAAGATCTTGTAACTAGACTTAAACAACATAAATATAGTGTTAGGACAGGCCAGGAATCCAATGCTTTGTTTGTTCATTTGAGGGATATAAAACATTGCATTGACTGGGATAATGCCTCCTCAATATTACCTTGTAATTCAATTGACAGTCGGAACATTTTAGAATCTAGTCTCATTAAACATACCGAATCCGTTAGCATGAATTTGAGTAATGGTATGTACAAATTGGACAATTTTGTAATTAAGAAGATTTGTAACCAGATGAGAAGGTTGGGTCAGTTTTTCCCTCTGACCCGATTACCGACCGCTGCGGTGCTTTTATGAAGATTAGTAGGGTTATTACCTATACTTGACCTCTGTGGACTTGATCTCACCCTCCTCTGTATATATATAACTTGTTCTGCATTTCTACTTAGTTTGTACTTACCCCTGAATATGTGAATTACACGAAAGCGCTTGGGAACTTCGTGTTTTCTTTTTCCTTGTGTTTATCAGCATATACCTGGATCACGCGCACCTACAGTGATTTATTTGCATAATGGATTCCACTCGCCACTTCTTCTACTTCTCTACAAGCTGTCCTGGACTGTCTCCTTTCGTTACTGAATACTCATCTTCGATGAACAAGGCCCACAAATTAAAAATAAGCTTGAAATTTCTCCAGACATTCCTTAGTGAAAAAGTTCTGCCTAGATCAATCCTCCCACAACGTGTCCTGAAGATGTCTGACCGCCCCTTTGATGATTTCCAAGAAATCATCCTAAAGAAACATTTTGAAATAAAGAAAATTGAAGTGGATGAAGCTTTTCGTATTGTAAGACAAAAAAAGCGTGTGTTTAATATGACCATACCGAGTGATTGGAAAAAGCTCATGTTGGATTACTGTTTTGATAACCCGAGACGTGCGCGTTCCGATCTTCAAGCTAAGATTGACCACAAATTGTCACTCCTTATTAAGAATAGTGATTGGACTAAGGATGCCAATCGCAACTGTGTAGTGAATCTCTCCTCTAAACAACTAGACAATGATACCTCGTGTGCCCTCGGCTATGGTTTAAGTTTTGATGGCTCTAGCAAGGGAGTCGACAGTGTTGACATAGCCAGAGCATTTTGCAATTTGGAGAAATTCAGCAATTTGACAAGTGAAGAAGTGAACATGTGTAAAGGTGTTTTGTATGCATCCATGTCTAAGCCATGTGTTCTAAGCTGTCCAGATAGATTCACCAAAGCAATCCAAGCCCTTAAGAAAAATAAGGATCTACATGTCACTAAAGCAGATAAAGCCAACACAGTAGTGATTTTAAACAAAGATGATTACATTTCTAAAATGAATGACCTTTTATGTGATGCTGAAACATATTCTAAGCTCATAAATAATCCTCTCAACACAGTTAACACCCAGTTCAACAAAAAACTTAAGTCTCTATTGAGGGGCAAAGCTACTCTCATTAAACATCTTACTTCAACGTCCCCTCCACTGCCATACATGTACGGTGTAATCAAGACCCACAAGCCTAATAACCCAGCAAGACCCATCATTAGCTCAGTTGGGTCAATCTCTTATAAATGATCTAAATGGTTAGTTTCTTTACTAAATCCCCTAGTTGGCAACATTACTAACTCTAATATTAATAATAATATGGATCTGGTTGATAAACTCAATAACTTACACATTAATTATGATTTTAAACTGGTCAGTTTTGATGTAACATCACTCTTTACAAAGGTCCCAGTTGATGATTTACTAGAGTTCCTCATAGATTCCCTGGATAATATTTCATTGCCCGTCTCGGAAGACGACTTCATCAAACTCATCAAACTATGTGTTAAGGATTGTAAATTTGAATTCAATGGAGAATATTATGCTCAAAAATTTGGTATGGCAATGGGTAATCCACTCTCACCTGTATTAAGCAACCTATATATGGAATTCTTTGAAAAGAAACTATTAAGTAACATCTAGCAACCTTCAGCAGTCTGGTTTAGATATGTAGATGATGTATTATGTCTCTGGCCAAGTAATGAGGACCTAAAAGCTTTCCTGCCACAACTTAATAACTTAGCTCCCTCGATCAAATTCATTGTGGAATTAGAGCATGACTGTAAATATCCTTTCCTAGACTGTCTGATCCACAGAATAGGTAACACCTTTAAGTTCAGTATTTATAGAAAACCTACTAATGTGTGTTCATACATTCATTATTTTTCTGCCCACCATGATAGAGTGAAACAGTCAGTATTTTCAACAATGTTTTTACGTGCTTTGAGAATTTGCAGCCCGGAATTCATTGATGAGGAATATAAATATATATATAATACTGGCTCAAACCTTAAATACCCTAGATCTTTCATAGACAAATGCCTGAACATTACTAAGAAATCTTCTTATAGAACTGATCCCAAGCCCACCCATGACCATAAAAATCTCTTAGTATTACCATTTCACAAAAATTTATCTCAAATTCCTTTACAACTAAAAACCTGGAACGTCAATGTGGCATTTAAAAACTCATGCACTGTTAAACAAATGTTAATCAAGAACTCCCCCAACAATACAAATGGCTGCATTTATAAAGTCCCTTGCTTAGGCCAGACAGGTAAAGATCTTGTAACTAGACTTAAACAACATAAATATAGTGTTAGGACAGGCCAGGAATCCAATGCTCTGTTTGTTCATCTGAGGGATAAAAAACATTGCATTGACTGGGATAATGTCTCCTCAATATTACCTTGTAATTCAATTGACAGTAGGAACATTATAGAATCTAGTCTCATTAAACATACCGAATCCGTTAGCATGAATTTGAGTAATGGTATGTACAAATTGGAAAATTTTGTAATTAAGAAGATTTGTAACCAGGTGAGAAGGTTGGGTCAGTTTTCCCTCTGACCTGACTACCGACCGCTGCGGTGCTTTTGTGAAGATTAGTAGGGTCAGTAGTCAGTACCTATACTTGACCTCTGTGGACTCGATCTCACCCTCCTCTGTATATATATAACTTGTTCTGCATTTCTACTTAGTTTGTACTCACCCTTGGAGATGTGAATTACACGAAAGCGCTTGGGAACTTCGTGTTTTCTTTTTCCTCGTGGTTATCAGCATAAATATATATATATATATATATATATATATATATATATATATATATATATATATATATATATATATATATATATATATATATATATATATATATATATATATATATATATATTAGCCGAATTACCCGCGCCTTGCTGCGGTTCACACATTTTTTTTGTAAGAAAATGATGATTGATTTTAAATCATTGATATAATTTATGTAAAATGTAATGCATGAAAAATTGGAAAACATTATTTTTTGTTATATATCAAATCAAAATTACAGTATTAATTTTTATTCTTATTCTATTTCTTGTAAATCAATTTTTTCAAAATATCAAATCAAAACTTGATCATTTTATATTTGTGTAAAGCATTATTTTCAAATTAGCAATTCAAAGATTAATTATTTATTTTTTAACATAATAAATACATGAAAATAAATTTTCATACTTTGTCCTAATGAAGAACTTCAGGGTAAACAACATTTCTTGTCTTTCTTTGATTGGCTAAAATGTAGAGGTTTTTTGAAGTTCCAGTCCTTGAAACAGCCACATAAAACATGCCATGACTGAAACATGGGTTTGTCAGATCTATACCAATAGTTTTTGAAAGTTTGACCTTGACTCTTATTGATGCTCATGGCAAAGCATGGCCTCACTGGGAACTGCAGCCTCCTAAATGCAAAAGGCAACTCGCTATCACTTGGTATAAGTGGAATCCTCGGAATGAGAAGAGCTTGACCTTTGTAAGGGCCGAATATAATGGTTGCTTCAATCAAGTTCTCATGCAATCTTGTTACAACACATCTTATTCCATTTATTGTTTGGGGTGGGTCCAATGATCTCAAAATCATGATCGGAGAACCAACTTTAACTTTCAGAAGATGGGGAGGCATTCCAGAAAGCTCAATTGAATTCAAGAACTCTGTAGGATACTGTACAGCTTCATCATCATTTGTTGTAGTGTCAATAGATTTGTACACATTTTCCTGCCCTGGAAATTCACTCATTAGCCATTTATTCAACTTGTTGACATTGGCATTTAATGGAGAAACAATCGCTCGCTCAGCAAGCCAGTCTGGATGTTTTCCATTCAAGCTCAAGTCTGGATACACTCTTGCCTTCAAATCCTCTAGTTTCTCAACACATTTGCCAAGTTCTTCAGGAACTAAAATTGTATCAGGTACTTCTACATAAGGGAGGTGTCCATCTCCAATTGTAAGAAGAAGGTTTGAAAAGTTTGCTGAATCTGAATCCCCAGTCATATGAGCCCTCATATTTGTTGTCAGCTTCTTCACAAATACGTGTCTCCAAAGGTAGGATTCCTTTAAACTTGCATCAACAATGTTTGCTCTTGTTCCATTTTCACAACAGGCAAAATTTGACGGAAGTCCCCTGATAGTAGAGTTTGAATACCACCCATTGTCTTCTTGACACCTGTGATGTCTTGTAAAGTTCCATCAATAGCTTCAAAAACAGTCTTATGAGCCATGGGGGCTTCATCAACAATTATTGCTTTTGTTTCCCGTATTACTTTGGCCATGTTAGAGTTTCGAGTAACTGAACATGTAGGCTCATCCATTCTGTATGTGTCCAGTGGTATGCAAAGTACGTCCTCCTTCCAACAATGTTGCTGCAATACCACTTGATGCAGTTGCCAGCACAATTTTTCCTTCTGACCTAATTTTTGCTAGAATTAAGTTTTGCAAATAAGTCTTACCTGTTCCTCCAGGTGCATCAAGAAACATAATGTTTTTATGATCTTCTCTTTCACCATTCACCATCTCCAAAAATGCTGTATAAGCACTCCTTTGATCCTCTGTCAATTTTTGATATTGTTCATCAACCTGAACTGCCAACTCCTCCTGATTGTAGTTGGTCTCACGTCTGTATTCACGACAAAGCTGCTCATTATCAACATGGGGTGCTCTTGGTAAGCCATATGTTGTCAAAACATGTCCTCCCATCATGAGAACTTTGTATTCCAAATGACACAAAACTTGATTGACAATTAAATCTGAGACTGGAGCATCTGGATCATTCATAGACCTGCGATGTTGCATTAAATAATCTTCTGACAATGTTTCTTTGAATATCTCCCAAAGCTCTGCTGGATTACTTGGCGAACATGTTATCAAAATTATGGCAAAGAGGCATCTCATGTTTGCAGGTGACTGAGAAATTCTTGCTTCTTGCATGGCAAGTCGTAAATGGTCATCATTCTCCAAAAGCCCCCTGGCAAGGCAAGCTTCTCTGAATGTTGTGCATAGAATGCCATCAACTATTTTTAGATCTTGGAATGAAGTTGGTCCTCTCACTTCGTTCAGAAGTCTCAAAAAATAACACTCTCCAACTCTTGGGCTGATTGTGTACATCCTGCCAATGGCCGGAGCCTTCCAAACCGGGCCATTCTCATTAACTCCATCAATCAAAGTACCTCTCTTGCGACGATTCCATTTCTTTGTACTTTTAATCCAAATGTAATATTGTGGGAGTTCAGCATACTTCAATGTCTTTGCAAAGTCATCATCTTGGCAGAGCTGGAAAAAACGTGTCAAAGTTGTAGGAGGTGGAGGGCCAACAGCTCTCTCTAATGCATTTTCTTCACGAAAGAGCACTCTTTGTCCATTCTCAAGATGAATTGCCAAACCAACAACTGGTGGGAAATGCACATGTGTAGGATGCTCAAGAATCCGCCATGCTGCTTCTGATGATGACACATATCTCATGTTTTGGTATTGGCTGATTTCATCAATCACCTGTGGTTCTTGACTATTGACTTGTGCAGCATTTTGTAACTCAAAAACAGCTTGATCTGACCCCTTTGATATGTATTTGATGCAATACTTGATTGAATGAATTGATGAGCAGATTTCAACATTGATATGACAGTTGAATTGTCGCAACAAATATGTATTGTAAGGCACTACCCATTGATTGGTGATTTCTTGCTCAACTTGACGTCCATATTGTCTCATTTTGATCTTGCCAATGTGACCTCCATCTTCTGGCTTTCTCCTTCTATATTTTGGATAGGAGTCATTCCCTTGTTCAGTAGCTTGTAGGAAATCTTTGGGAAATTGTTTGGAACATTTTCTGTCGACCATACATGGGGAACCTTCATTTAGGGGACCACATGGGCCATGGATCATGTGTTTCATGACCAGATCATGTAGTTCTTTATCTTGCTCTTTTTTAGGGATTTCTGCAGAAATTGCCAAATCATATTCTTCGGCTTTGATTTTGTGCTCTGGAGCTATCCAGAAAAGAAAGTGCGCATGGGGTAAACCTCTCTTCTGGTAAGCAATGGTGTACAGCCATGCTTGTAAAGTACCAAATTTTCCCTTCTTCATATGTTCCATAAACTTTTTCACTTTTAATCTGAAGACTCTCGCAACAATATCTGGTCGATCATGACTCTCTTGTCCGGGAGCCAAATTGTCAACAATTTCGGGCCAACGTGGATTACATGTCATAGTGATAAAGTAATCTGCTCTTCCGTAGTGTCTCACAAAGGCCATCGCATCTGACCTTTTTTCATGAAGGTATCGAGGACCACCAGTATAGGTCGCTGGAAGCACAATGCGACGACCAACTTGATTTGGATCTCCATCTGCAGCAAGCTTCATCCTTTGTGCATGTGGAGTATTTGTATTAACTGGACTTTCTTTCCGTGGCATAATGGATGTCTGAAAAAAAATAAATAAAATGAAAAATGTTAAAAGTAGAGGCATTAACTAATAATTTTTCTTGCCATAATTCTCGTGATGTTTTGTCATAGATAAAATGTCTAAATTTGCCAAATTTTTCTATAAAAGAGAGGTAAGTTTTGTTGTTGTTTCTTTACGTTTAATTAATAGAAAAGCCCGATAATAGAGGTTCCAAATACTGCTATGGGCTTCCAAAATGTTCAATATAGGCTGAGCCCCTATTAATTAGGTGTCTTAATATTATTGAAATTTGCTGATATTTTGTAGAATAGGCATCACTTTCGGTCATTTACCTATGGTTTAAATTTCATTTAAATCGAAGGGAAAATTTTTCAGTGGGGGTTTGTGCCCCCGGGGACCCCTTGATCGTAAAATGAAATATACTTATCCAAGTACCTTGGTAATGTAGTTTCAGAATATATATGGTTATGGGTCTATCTCCAAAACCCTAGGAGGAGTTCGTGAACAAACAGACAGAGGCTACAACTTTATATATAGAGATATGTGTGACCAACACACTGGTGGCAGCGGTGGATGGATTAGAAGAAGAATCGGTCAAACACTCAGAAACAAACATTACTTCAAGTGATTCCAGTGACTAAGTGGCATCCTCAGTGAATCATCAGCAAACAAGCAATTACAAGAAATTAAGTGGACAGTGACTATAAACACTTGCAAAACGCATACATATAGACACAGTGGTAAAAAAACATTACAAAAGATTGCAAACTTAGCAGTCAAACCATCAGTGACACATACTACTGAAGGTTACCCCTGACCGCCGAGAGCAGCCGAGCCTACCTGAGTGTGGGCTGAGATTACTACCAGCTAACACTACATCACCGGAGTTTAGGAAGGTTGTCAAAGTGGTTCCAGACAAGCAAGCAATCTCTGCTTAAACAAGCAAGACTCGTAGGTGTGCAACAGAGGACAGCCCCAGATCAGACCCAAGCTGATCTCACCAACCAAGAATTCAGCCCCAGATCAGCCACCAGGCCGATCGACCACCCAGAGGGTCAGCCCCAGATCAGCCCTGAGCTGACCTCCGAAGACCCAGCTCAGCCCCCCATGTGGATTGCAGTAAGACGTGACGTCATCCTCCCTGAGAAGGACGTCATCGACTCCTGACGTCATAGCCAGCGCGAGGTTCTACACACTCTCCACTCAGGTAGTTCACAAACAATCATTATTTTAAAACTACACAAACACAAGTGAACTTCAAGAAGTCTTCACATGTAGCCAATATAAAATATATACGCACAATGCACAAAAAAGTGAAAGTAGATAAACACATCAAGAAGTACATCCTCTACTTAAAAGGATATTTATACATATATATATATATATATATATATATATATATATATATATATATATATATATATATATATATATATATATATATATATATATATATATACATATATATATATATATATATATATATATATATATATATATATATATATATATATATATATATATATATTATTCAGAAATTTCAGTGTGATTTAGATATGCACGCCATATTGGGATACTGAGTTTTCAAGGTCGACTGAGCGCTTCCGACGTAGTGAGAGCTTCTGGAACTAGGCCTATACGATATTAAATGTACTTTATTGAAATAATATGGATGCGATTCATGAAGTTAAGGACTATTATTGAATTTGAAATTATTATAGATCGTTTATCAAGCTGAATAATGCTACGTATGTCCCAACGAGCTATTAGTTATGAGGGAAAATATGTCACATAGGCCTAGGCTTGGGAAAGCACAAGCCTGGCTGTTTCTCAGTCAGACGACAGTGTTCGAACAGAGAGGACGGTTCTGGGTCAGACAGGACAAAACGGTCACGTGGTGTAGTCACCTGTGTTGGGACATTGCAGTTAACAAGTAAGTCTCATTCGATCTCAGACAGGGCTTAGATAGGGCAGTGATAAAATTAGTAATAGCTAACAGTGAGTTCATTGGAGGTTTTCGTCAGAACCCACTTGAATGCGAAGTGATGACTGCGAGTGATGACTGCCGTTTGAGACTGCCGTTGATGATTGATGATTAGCGATTGTCGCAGTTGGAACGATCAGGGCAGGATTGTCAATGGTTTGCTGGGTTAGCAAGGATCTCTGAAGTGAAACCAGCTGTCTGGGTGCACAACTGATGATCGTCTGGGTCGCCAGATCTCTTCTACCTCGGCTCACAATATCACATATCTTCAAGCAGTTAGTGAAGACCTTTTACTACGAGAACCTAAAGCTTCTCTCAATGATAAGGTCTGATTGGCTCACTCCCTTCCGTCTCATGGATGTACTGAGTGTAAAATGAGGCCAGTTGAGTGAATATGGTCACACACTGGGACCAGGAGTCTAGTGGAACTTCGAGGTACATTTTCCAAGGTGGAGAAAGGCTGGTTTGTGCCTTAACTACCAGTGATTTATATTATTTTGTTGAAAGCCCTAAGGCCTGTTTCATGTGTGCAAGCAACATTTCCTAATACTTTGAATTTATTGTTCTCTAATGAGGCATTTTTCTGAGTTTCTAATAATTTCAATATCATGTATAACTTTTATTCCCCAGAGTAGTGTTTTAAGTTCAGGTTAAGAGGTGAGCATATGTTGGTGTACCATTATTTGATTGTGTCTGTAGTGTTGGAGGAATAGAAGTGTCTAAATTTTACAGTGTGTCTCATTCACCCCAATCACAGGTGTTATCCTTCCACAGGTCACGGAGAATTAATTTTGTTAGTAAATTTAAGTGTTCTTGTGCTGGTTCGGTTCTTTCTCCAAGGGCGCTTCCTGCAATTTCCATGTAATAATACTTAATAAACCCTAGTCAAGTGAAAATAAATTCCATCAATTCCAACCAGTTACACACACACACACACATATATATATATATATATATATATATATATATATATATATATATATATATATATATATATATATGTATATATATATATATATATATATATATATATATATATATATATATATATATATATATATATATATATATATATATATATATATATATATATATATATATATATATATATATATATATATATATATATATATATATATATATATATATATATATATATATATATATATATATATATATATACATTAATCACTGTGGTGCGTGATCAGGTACATGCTGATAACCACAGGAAAAAGAAGAGTTCCAAAGGCTTTGTAATTCATCTTCAAGGTGAGTACAGTCTGTACTCACCCTTGAGAATTTTATTTATATATATATATATATATATATATATATATATATATATATATATATATATATCTTCATGTAGATCCACAATGAAAACATGGATAAGACAAATCTTGATAAATACACAGGAAAGGAAACAACGCGCACCTGGGTGCTCCGTTCCCTTTCCCGTGTATTTATATATATATATATATATATATATATATATATATATATATATATATATATATATATATATATGCAAATCATAGTAGGTGCGCGTGATCTAGGTATGCTGATAACCACAAGGAAGAAAGAAAACACAAGTTCCCAAGCGCTTTGTGTAATTCACATCTTCAGGGTGAGTACAGACTAGAGAGAGTAATACAAATCAAGGTGTATATATACAGAGGAGGGTGAGACCAGGTCCACAATGGTCAGGTATTCTCTCTAGTCTGTACTCACCCTAAAATGTAATTACAACTGCGCTATATATATATATATATATATATATATATATATATATATATATATATATATATATGTATATACACTTTTACATACTCTTCGTACTTTTTAGTACTTTTAATAACAAATATATATTGTCTCTTCATTTCCATAACTCATTATAAATATTTTTTTGCATTACTCTATGAGTGGGCAACGTAGTGAGTCTTTGTACAGTGAGTGAAGTGATAAATAGTCCTATACATGGACCCTTTTCCAAAATTTTTGGGAATCACACAGGAAATTAGTGACTCAGAGTCTGATAGCCAGTCATCTAATAATTCACAGGAACTAGTGGCAACTAATAGTGAGGAAGAATTACCACAAATTAGTCAAAATAGAGTTAACACCTACCGACTCTTTAGCTAGCTGTGAAAATTTCATTGATTCTCAGTTTGAGGATTTACACAATAGACAATTAAGGTCAGGTAACATTTACCAATTGCCTTCACCTGTTACTAACGCTAGTGCTTTAACTAACACAACAAAAATGGCAACAATTGGTTCTACTAACCCACAGACTGCATAGGTCTGTCAAACGGTAAAGGTATTTCTAAATAACATTAAGGTACAGGCGTTTATTTGCCGAGGATCCTAATTATACTAGTTTAGCATTTTTGCGTAAATGCGAAGATGTAATGGGCAATAACAATGTCACTAATGACGTAGATAAAATTTCATATGTCCGAAGCCTTATGAAAACCGATAGTCGGGCAGCTAGAGGTATCCATGCTTCAGCCAATGATGAAGAAACGGATGATCATCCAACATTTAGGCAACAATTTATTTATTTTTTTAGATCGGGCTCCAAAGGAGGTCCACTTAGTTGGATTTTTAAGATGGCAGAGAGGACCGGTGACACTCTGCTTGCACATGAAGCACAAGAAACCAAATTTGTGCTGGTCTCACTAAGATAGATCTCACATCTTAATGGATTCCTCAGATTGGTTCGATAAAAATGACAACTTGTCTAAAGTAAATTTCTACAGGATTATTGAATTTCTTCAGTTTATCTTGTCATCAAATGAACCCTTATGCAAGAAAAACCAAAAGAAAGAATTAAAAAAAGGGACTAAACTTGTAGAATACATAGAAGAAATGCGAACTACTACATAAGTGTTCTATACTAAATTTTAAACCTTGTTATATCTTAAAAAGTAGAGTTCTATTCTCATTACGGAATATATATATATATATATATATATATATACATATATATATATATATATATATATATATATATATATATATA